CCATTAGCTTAATCACTCTCTACTTATGTGTAAATACACACACACACACACACACACACATGCACACACACACTTTTTTCTGAACTGTTTGAGAATTTCAACTCATTCATCGTGCTCCTTTGCATTAGTGTGCATTTCCTAAGGACACGGACATTCTCTTGGTTTTTCACTTCTCGCTGGGGTTTACTGAGAACTGGAGGGAGAGGAGAGCAGCAGTCTCGAGGACCTGAGGGGTTTAATAGCACCTGTGTCACAGTGTTCCTTGCCTCCCACCAGACCCTGCAGGGACAGAAACCCATTCTAACAAGGGGTGGGCTGGGTCACCTTCCAAAAGTCTGCCTGTGGTTTCTGGGTGAAAATTCAAGCCTTGCCACCGCTCCAAAGCCAAGTATGATTTGGGGAAGGTGGCATCGATGAAGTGAGCCAGTCTCAGGCTTTGAAGCCTGTTTACTGTCCACGTGGTGCCAGAACCCAGAGGAAAAGAGGTCAGGCAGGTGCAGAGGAAGGTGTCTCTTCACAGCTGGCCGGAAAGTTGTCTTCCTGCCACACCGTCTGTGCCAGGGCCCTCAAACCCTCCTGCTCTGACCCAGGCTCCCAGAGATTCAGAGGCTCCCAGAAGAGCCACAGCAACCTCCCACATAGGGTCCCCACTCTTTTGGTAATTCCTGGTGGGTGGATGGACAGGCAGATCAACCTTTAGCTTTTCTGATTATAAAATTAGTACCTGTTTAATTAATACCTGTTTGATTAATACCTGTTTAATTAATACTTGGGGGGATTCATAAACTGAGAAAAATGTGAAGATGATCCAGACCCTCCGGAAGCCTCCTGCAGTCCTGGGGTGCTTCCGCTCCAGCTCCCTGTGCCAGGGGTGAGCATTGTATGCAGTCAGGGGCCCCCACTCTAGGTGAGAACTCCATGTGGTTCTGGCTCGGCCATTACTGCCTGAGTAAGAAGACTGACTAAACTTTGAGATCCAGTTTCCCCATCTATAAAATGGGATAATAATAATAATACTTGCTTAAATAAGCTAATTCAGCTCAGGGGCTTAGTCCAAGGCCTAGAAGCAATTGCCAACAAATGTTAGTTCTAAACAACAACAAAAGGTCCTGTGCCCTTCCGCTGGACAGCAGTCTGCTGCTGAGGTTCATTCAGTCCACATACATTTTTCTGAGCACCCATTGCCTCCCAGGTGTGAGTCCTAGCAAGCCAACTAAAGAAAACCTTTGCCCTCAGAGAACTTACGTTCTAGTGGGGAGAGAGATAACAAGCCTGCATATCTTATGAAGTATGTCAGGTCTGATAAGTGATCTGGAGGAAAATTTGGCATGAAACAGCAGAGAGGGACACCAGTGGCAGGTTGCTGTTTATGGAAGGTGGTCAAAGAAGGCCTCTGAGAAGGTGACATTTGAGCAGAAGTCTGAAGGAAATGAGGGAAGGACACATCTGGTAGAGGGGACGGCATGTGCCAGGGCCCTGAGGCAGGACATGCTTGTCATGTCTGAGGACAAGCCTGGAGGCCCGTGTGGCCAGGGCGGAGTGAGTGAGGAAGAGAGTGGTAGGAATAGAGGTCAGAGAGGTAGTGGGAGTCCAGCTGCTTCAGGCCCTAGAGGCCAGTGTAAGGGTTTCGACTGTTCCCCTGAGTGAGACGAGGACTCTGGAGGGTTGAGAGAGAGGAGTGATGTAATGGACCCTCAGTAGGTCTCAGTACTTGTGTGTTGTAGATAAAGTGAAAGCTGCACAGCTCCTCCGACTCTGTCAACCAGCTCCCCCAACTCTGAGGGCCCCTCCCCACAGGGAGCATCACTCAGCCCACTGCCCGGCCTGACGCTTCCCCCGACACACCCTGTTTCTCTGGATGGGACTTATATCCAGGTGACTCACCCAGATGCTTCCAGGCTAGACCACACGCCCAGCGGAACTGTAAACCTCTCACTAGCTAATGGTCGCCCTGGACTGAGGTCTTGCCATAAGCCAGAGCCCCTATCCCGGGAACTCCTTCAGCCTCACAGCCACCCTGCCTGGCAGCCACCATCACTCTCCCTCTGCCGCTGGTACCATGAGCCATGAACGTGCACAAGGTACTGAAGCAAGCAGGCGCAGAAGCCAAGGCCCCAGCCGGTCTGTCAGACGCCCAGGATGGGACCGTGACCACCCCAACAGCAAGAGAGAAGGCTGAAGGAGTCATGCTCCTTGGCCCGCCCCAGGCTCTCACTCTGTTGAGAAAATGTCGGAGAAAGCATTTTGCAAGTCTGTGTGAGGCATCACACCAATACAGGGGCAGTTAGGAAGATGGTTCGAGTCTGAAATCCCAGGCTTTGGTTTGGCTCCTGAGTTTCCAGATAGCTTCCTCCTGCACCCCAAACACCTGAACTCCCCCAAATCTCAGCGTATTCCCCAGCTTCTCCTCTGCTTTGCTTGAAACAAAGCAGGTCTTTTATAAAGAGGGTGGGGGTGGGGTAGGGGGGTGGCCTTGCTTTGGGGAACATGCTTTCACCTCCTTCTAGTTCATTGTTTTTATACAAAATTCCAGGCGCACAGGGCAGGCAAACAGAAGTCTCATTCATAGTCCCTGACCCCCTCCCCCCGCAGCCCCCCACCTCCTGCTGGTGTGTTTCCCGCCTCCTTCCCCTTGCCTCATTTCAGTCTCCTGTTGAAGTCGTGATCCACAGAAGGCTGGGGAGGTAGACGCAGAGCAGAGCAGATTTTGTGCACTGCTTGTGGGGGTGGGAGGGCATCCCCGGCGGCCGTGGTGTGGCGTGAAGAGCCCTAGATTTGCTTGCCCAGAGACTAGACTGGTTTCCAGGCTGGTTCTGCGGATCACTAGTCCAATGACCTTGTCACTTTCCCTTTCAGCCGCTACCTGTTCATCAGAGTCAACATGTGCTTATTATGAAATCATGTGCCTCCTTCTTCCCTGTTTGGCTAAGTTGGCACAAAGCTGAGCGTGAGGGCTCACGCATAGGACACACGTTTCTGCTTTCCCACTGTTTTCCCTCTTTGGGCCCCACACCTCCCTGATTTTTGTCACTTGCAAGTGGTAAAACTGCCAACTGTACTGCACACACACTTTTTTAAGGCTGAAGTCATCGGCTCCCTCGGCGTCACACCTGGTGGGCACAGGGCACTGCTATGCAGGCAGGGCCCGGCAGTGGGACAGCACCAGCCATGCGGGGTGGGGGTGGGGGTGCCGGTGGGGAAGGTGTCTGATCACGAAGTACAAACTTGTAACGTGTTGCCGTCTTTAGAGGAGCATTACTTTGGCTCTGGGCACTGGAGGAGGTGTGGATGGCTGGTCTCGGAGATTTTCTGGGCAATTAAAGAGAATGAAAACAAATGTGCACTTCACACAGCACGGGCTGTCTGCGGGGTGCTGGTGTCCTGGAATTCGGAACCTTTACTCTGTATGCTTCTGTGTGTCTGAACTTTATACTTGATGAGTGTGTATCAATTTTAGACCACATTTCATAAGTCTAAGATGCCATCGATTAAAAGAGACCATCATTTTATTCAGACAAACTGCTACCCATTAAACTACGTCACAAATTAGTAAGGCCCGTCTTACTAATTGAAATGTTTTTGAGGTGTTAAAATATGAAAGAAATGTGCATCTTAGAATTAGTGGAATGCACATGAAAAGAAATTTTCCATCTTTGGGAAAAAATTTGCTTTTATCTCCCACCCTCCTGTTCAGAGTGATTTCCTAAAAAAAAAAAAAAATGCCTAGGGAGCGTTTGAGGATGACTTCATGTTACTATTTTTAGCATCTAGATGCCAGTTTATTCCAGGCCCTGGGCTAGGTGTGTTCTTGTGTCCGAGTCCCTCAAGGCCTCCTGGGAACTAGTGGGAAAGGTGGTCATTTTCCAAATAAGGGGCCTGATGGTCAGATTCTGATTCCTGCTCACACGGCAAGTAAACGAGGGAGATGAGACGCAAACCTGCCCGCTGCCCCACCGCATCCCATCACAGGCCTGAGCTCGGAGGGGGTCCTGAGAGGGGCCACCAGTTAGCACCTGAAGCCCCAGGATCAAGGAGAAAGTGCCCTGCTCCCAGGCCCACCTGTGCACCCCCTTGTTTCTGGTTCTGGGGAGCTGACTTCCTCCTTGCACACCCCTCTCTGCCAATCAGAGTGAGTCAACCTCACAATGACCTCACTGTCCTCAGTGGGCTGTTTGGCCGTCTCCTGCTGTCACTGAGCCCTGGCCCCAGCACCTCCGCACGGGCGCAGTGTTCCCCGCCCCACTCCTCAGACGTGGCGGCTGACCTGTCGTCCGGCTGCTAAGAACGGAACGACCACGGCTGAGAGGGCTGTTTTCCTCCCGCCACCGTCTCAGTGGACTGCCATCCATGGGCGCTGGGGGCTTGGCCTGATTGTCCCAGGGCCTGGCACAGAGGCACGGACAGCGGGAACACTGCTTGTTAGACAGTGGACGGAGTGAGCTGAAGTAACAGCTCGGGGCCCAGGCTACAGCAAAGGATAATTTTCAAAAGGATACTTACACAAGTATATAGTGGCCACATGTCAACGTTTATGTAAGTCATCAATGAGGGAACCAGCGAAATGACAAAGCTAGATGAGATTTGAGGGGGAAAATGTTCGCCTGGGCTGCCACCACAGATTACCCCCAACTGGGTAACTCTTCAGCAACAGAAATGTATTCTCTCACGTGTCATAAAGCCAAACGTTCAAAATCGAGGTGTAGGCAGGGTTGGCTCCTCCCGGAGGCTCCGAGGGAGACGCTGCCCGCCCCTCTCCTTGACGTTCCTCGGCTTGTAGACACAGCACTCCAGCCTCCGCCTCTGTAATCACGTGGCCTTCTTCCTCGTGTGTGTATCTGTGGTTTCCAAATCGTCCTCTCCTTATAAGGACAGCAGTCTTTGGATTTAGAGCCATCCTAATCCAGTATGACCTCATTTTAACTTGATTACATTAGCAAGAGCCTACTTTCCAAATAAGGTCACAGTCACAGGTTGGGGGGGGGGGGGTGAGAGGACTTGAACGTCTTTTGGGTGACACAGTTCAACTTGTAACCATTACCAAATTCATGTCTCATTACTCAGCATCACAGACCCCGGCTTCACAGGGCCACGGTGCCTGGGGTGTCAGCTCTGATGGGTCTCTGGTGTCTTAGGGTTGAGCGCTGGCCTATTGACAAGGCTCAGGGGAAGGCAGGGCATCTCCATGGCAGAAGTCAGCACTGCACGGGGCACAAATGGAGCCAAACTTGCAGGGCTCAGCTCCAGCTCCACACCCCACTGTCTGTGACTCCTCGCTTTTCTTCGCCTCTCTGGGCCTCAGTTTCCCCATCTGTGAAATACGGGCCACGGTGGTACACGCTCCATAGGACAGCACTCAGAATGGCACCTGTGAAGCTCTGAATACGTGTGCACTGTTATTGGCCTAGTCACGCCCACTCACAGGTTCACAGCTTTGCTCCTTTTGGGTGAGAAAGGCTGTCCTACTGGAAGTACCAGAAAGTTCCCCCTCCCCCTGGGCCTGGTCATGGCGGAAAAAGGAAGCTTATAGTCCGCCTCGGTCTCCAGAAAACACAGCGAGCTCCTGGTGAGGACGGAGGAGGCCTCTGCCCAGGCGGATTGTAGGCCGGGGCGTTTGCTTTCAAACCTGCCCCGCTCTGGTGAACAAGCTCTCTTTTGGCTGCTGGCGCTGCGTCCGGCTTGGAAGGTGATTTCCCGTCATTTGCTGCCTGTGCAGCTGGCAGTTTTTTTTCGGACACTCATGACCCGTGGAGAGCTATCAGGGCCCAGAGGCAGAAGCTGGGACCAGAGCCTTTCCAGCCAGGACTAGGACCGGCTGGCCGGAGAGGGCAGCCTCCCGGGGGCCAGCTGGTGGGGTAGAGGCCGGCAGATGCCAGGCCTGGCCTTCGCCATCCAAGCTGGCAGGACAAGGCCTGTCTGCCCCTCGTGAGCTCCTCACACACTGGACCTGGGGAAGCCAGGACCTCCTGCATCCAGACCTGTCCTCCGCGATGGGGCGGCGTGGCCAGGCCGGGCCCTGAGCAGTACCACCGCTGCTGCCACTGTCATTAGCGCCTGGGATGCAGGCCTGGGTTGGAAAGACTGAGCCGCACCCCAGGCCTCTCCGACCCTGAGTTTGTTCATCTGGGAGTTGAAGCAGGAGGGGCCGGGCCCTGCACTCTAGGCCCTTCACGGAGACATCTTTTTTGCCCTCAGTCATCGTCTTCCCCTTTCCAGGCCTGAGGACAGCAGCGTTCTTCTTGGGTTTTTTTACTTTTTTTTTTTTTTTAAGAAGGTGGAGATTCCTAGAAAAGACAAAATTACTGAGACAGAAAGCAGACCTGTGGTTGCCTGGGGCTGGGGTGGGGTTGACTGAAGATGGGCCCACAGCGTGATGGAAGCGTTTGAAGACAGTTTGTGTCGGTGGTTGAGCTGCTTTGGACATTCACGCATCAAACAGTGTGCCTGCCGTGGTGAGTTGTATGGCATGCAAGTGCCTCTTCGGGAAAGCGGAGTGAAGGCGTGCATCTAAAAGGGAACCCTCTTAAAACCACCGTTGGTGAGGGGTTACCATCTGCCAGGAACTTGATAGAAAGTGTTCAGTCAATGGTTGTGAACTTGAACAAGAGTGGAGGGGGCGCCAAATTGGAAGCCTTTATGTGGCCTGGGCAGGTCCAGACTCTGTCTAGGTCTGTTTCCCGAGTTGATGCCCTGGAGGGGTGAGAGGTGCCGGGCCCCTGCAGGAGCTGTCCTGCCCAGCCCTCTGTGCTGCAGACCCTCGGGCTGTCCCGGGCCCCGCTGTGCCTTTGCCTTTGCCACAGAGCACCTCTGCCTTCCTGCCTTTGTGCAGAGCATTTCCTCCCCCCAGCCCCTGGAGCAAACACACAGCCGGGAACAATTGGAAAATCCGGATTGGCCCGGCCTCGTTTCCCCCCACCCCTGGCTCCTTCCCTTGACCGGGACCAGAGAAGCAACCAGGAGACTGCCCCGGAGAAAACCCCTCAAACCAAGGGGCCCACGCGCCTCCTGGGCTTTCCGCTCCCCTGCAGCCCTGACGGGTGACCTCAGCCAGTTTACAAAGAAGATCAGAGATAAAGAGATGCTTGTCCACAGAGACGATCAGTGCCTGGGCCAGGCTCCTTGCTCAGGGAGAAGCTGGGTGAATTGGTCGTTGGCTTGTTTGGGAATCACTTGCCTTCCTCTCCTTCTGCCTCTCTCATTGTTGTCAGGTGCCAAAATGCCACCGTTCAAATGCCACCTCCTCCAGGAAGCCTTCCCTCAAACCTCCTCCCATTCACCCAGAAAGTTCCTAGGGTCAGGCAGCAGGAACCCAGAAGTGTGAGAAGTGCCTTTGCAGGAACTGAGTACCTCCGTGGGAGGATGGCAGGAAGGAGCCCTGAGAGTCAGAAGGTAACCTGGCCTCTCCTCTAGGGCTGTGGGGAGCTACAGCAGGTTCTGGGCAGGGTGGGACCAGCAGATGTGGCAAAAGAGGGTGGTTCCAGCTGCTGGGTGGAGGAGGGTCAGACCAGAGTGGGACTAGTGGGAGGCTGAGGCCACTGAGGAGGCTGAGCCATCTCCCCGGGGAGTGCTCCAGCAGGAGGACGCGGCCTGCCCCTCCCATCACCTTTCCCTTCCTACCTCGCACTGTTCCTGTCCCCAGCCCCCTCCCTGGGCCCACAGCGCCCTGGCTGATAAACTCCAGGAAGCACTCCACTGCTTGGCGGCTGCTCCTCCCAGAGAGGCTATAGCAGGTTTCTTCTGGAGATGATGCCCCAGGACTAAGTGGTGGACCTGCCAGCCGGAGGACTGCAGAGAGCAGGAGGAGTGGAGGGCTGGGAGCCGGAGCCCTCGCTGGAGCAGGTCCGAGGCCAGGGCGAGTGGTGAGCCAGCCTGTCACTCCTGGCTGACTCAGACCCTCCTGCCCCTCTTATCAGGCCTGCGGAGTGATAAGGGCCCAGTTCCTGCACTGGATTCTAGGCCTTTGTTTGGGGCAGCCAGGAAGTGACTGTGGGTTTTGCTGTGCCTTAAGGAGTGGGGCTGACTCACGGGGGTGGGGGCCTGGGTGTGCCAGGGGTGGGGAGAGCCTGCAAACGCCGGCCCTGCACCACCAAGCACCAACGGGCCGGGGGAGGGAGGTCCCCAGTGGGAGTGTGTCTGACCTCCACACCCACCTCCTCCGCAGCCACGGAGAGGAATCCTTGCCTCTGCCTCCAGGATTAGGACAGGATGGGTGGCCCAGGGCGTCTCCTCTTTATTTTTCAAACAGAAAATATTTCCAGAATATTATTCCCCGAAAGTGTTGACTGTCTGCTAAGCACCAGACACGAAACTAAGGGTTTTGCTGGCACTGTCTCCTGTAATCTTCACCCCAATAACAACCCTGGGGGGGCGGATATCACTGTCCACACCTTACAGACAAGGAAACAGGCTCAGAGAATAGACGTGCATTGCTCAGATTTGCTCATCCAGGAAGCAACAGATCCAGGATTCAAGCCCACTCCAAACTCATAGAAAACTCCCTTGCAAACCCCCATAAAGATGATAGACAGGGCAGGGATGGGCCTCAGGAGGTTTGGGACACCCTGGGGACTACCCATCCCTACATCAGGTCCTCAAGGGCCCCTCCAGACCACCGCCCCAGGGGACCCTGCCACGGTGGACAGTGAATGTGATGCTTTCCCAGCTGTTACTCCCTCCTCCCTGTGAGGAGCCGAGAGGCTGGGCCAGGTGTTCTCCGTAGGCCAGACAGCGGGTGAGTAACTTGAGTTCATCAATGACCAGTTGGGTGGCTCCTTGTCTAGGCTCTCGGAAGGGGGAGGAGGTGTGGTGCCTGAGAATGAGATAAAAGAACAGGAAATTCCCAACCAAGCGGCAGAATCAGGACCCCATTAATCAAGACGGAAAAGCCATTCCTAAAAAGGGAAGGATCTGATTCATCTATTTGTCGTCAGGACTCAGTCCTCTCCGCATTTATCAGTCAGGCCTGACGCTCTCTGCACACCTGCGCGCCGGGTACCCCTGGCTCACGTCCGGCCAGCTCGCTGGTCCTAGGGGAGAGAGAGTCTCTGGCAGAAAAGTTCCAGAGAAAATTCTGATCAGCAGCTCTTGAGTCACAGGACTCCCTGTTTGAACAAATCTCCATAGCCTGGGGCGGGGTTTGGGGATTGCCCTTACCTTGCCTGGCATGCCCTTCCTTGCACTGCATCTCATTGTGGGGCCGGACAGCAGAGCAGCAGAACCAAGCCAAATGGGTGGGAGGTGTGTGTGTGTGGGGGGGGGGGGGGGGAGGAACAGGGGGAGGCAGGCAAAGCCCAGGGGATCCCGGGAGCTAGCTCCCAACTTCCCCACCCACTGGGCTGTCCATCCCCAGACGATGCTGGGCCATTCTTGTCAGGCCAAGGAAGCCAGAGGGTTATCGCCAGGAAGAGCCACTCAGTGTCTTAGCTTAGCCAGGGCATTGCAACCTCAGCACTATCGACATGGATGCCAGATGCTCCCTGTTGTTGGGATTGCGCTGTGCGGTGTAGGAGGGGAGCAGTGTCTCTGGCCTCCGGCCTCTAGGAACCAGTAGCATCTTCCCCCTCTTCACTGTCGCAATCCAGAATGTCCGTGGACCTTGCCTAACGTCCTGGGACCAAATCGCCCCTGGTTGAGATGACCCCAGCAGCAGACGTTAGATGAGGAATTTCAGGAGCACAAGCAGGGGGTGGGGAAGTGGGGCAGGGAGAGAGCAGCTGGTCCCCGGCGTGTTAAAGGGCAGGCTATCCCTGTGGGGGACTGGGGCTTGGGGCCTGGGAAATGGTGTGGAGCAGGTGGACTGAGGAACCGGGGAGCTGGAGCAGGTCTGGGCCAGGCCCGTCAGTCCCCTTGAGGTGCTGGGACAGAGGGGGCACGGCAGGCTGCTGTGTGGCACAGCGTGGGCCCTGGCAACCTGGAGAAAGCTGGCACCGGCAGCTGAAAGCTGGGCCTGGGACACTGCCGTGGTAAGGGTAGTGGCATATGGGACCACTCAGTGCCTAACAGCATCTCCTGCCCCCTCGTTCCTCGTTTCTCCCCTCCCAGCGACACAACCATGTCAGGAAGGACAGCTGGGTCTGGGCAGAGCTCCCCAGGGGTGCCAGGGCACCAGGATTGCTTCCATACTTTAATTTAATAGTTCATTTTTGTGAATTTGTTTTGCCTTGTGAAGATTGTGAATCGTGGCACTCAGTGGTAGATCCCTGGCTGCAAGTTTAAATTATATGGGGAGCTTTTAAAAAGCACTATTGCCTGGGCTCCCTTCTCCAGAGAGAGATTCTGTCTTGTTCTTCAGAGGCTTTTTCTAAGGTCCCTGATGATTCTCATGCACAGCCAGGCTGAGAACCACTGATGTAATTAATCGTGGCTCTGGGTCTTTGCAGGTGCTGCTCTGCCTGGAAGACCGTAACCAGGTTTCTTCTCATCATGCAGGTCTTGTGCTAAGTTCCTAGCGCTGCCATCACCAATGATCACAAACTCGGCAGCTTAATGCAGTAGAATGATATCATCTCACAGTTCTGAAGGCCAGAAGTTCAAAATGAAGGTGTCAACTCGGTTGGTTCCTTCTGGTGGCTCGAAGGGACGATTCATTCCATGCCCCTTCTCACTGCTGGTGGCTGCGGGCAACCTTGGGGCTTCAGAATTCAGGTCTCTGCTTCTGTCTTCTTCACCAGGCCCTCTTCTCTGTGTTTTGTGTCTTCTTTTCTCTTAAAAGGATATTTAGGCCCTGGCCAGAGAGATCAGTTGGTTAGGGCATCGTCCTGATATGCCAAGGTTGTGGGTTCGATCCCCAGTCAGGGCACATACAAGAACTAACCAATGAATGCATGAATAAGTGGAACTACAAATTGATGTTTCTCTCTCTCTCTCTCTCTCTCTCATTTCACCTTCTCTCTCTAAAATCAATAATTTTTTTTTTAAAAAGGGTAATTACTGTTGGATTTACGGCCCACCCTCATTTAGGAGGATATCATCTTGAGGTTTTTACCTTAATTACATCTATAATAACCCTTATTCCAAATAAGGTCACATTCTGCGATTGCTGAGGGACACATGTTTTGGAGCCACAATTCAAACCACTGTATGTCTCATCAGCTTCCCTGACCATCCCTGCTAAGCCAGCCCCACCAAGTCTGTTGTCAGTGCTTTCTCTTCTTAGCATGAACCACTGTCTCTAGACTCTTAAGGACTGACGATCTGTCTCCCTCCCACTAAAATATAAATTCCAATGGAGCAGGACCATATTTGTCTTGTTCTCTACTGTATCCTAGTCCAGTGCCTGGAACATAATAAACACCCAATACATATGTATTAAAGGAATAAACAAAGTTTCCTTCGTTGCCTTGCTTGCTAGGAAGCTCAGAGCAAAACTGCTGACCTATCTCTAGTAAGTACTTTTATTTTGTTTTTGTTTTTGTCTTTTTAAAATTTAGCCCTCTAACCTTTTCTGAGTGTAGTTCAGTGGCATTAAGTATGTTCACATTGTTGTGCAACCATCACCACTATCCACCTCCGAACAATTTGTCCTTTTAAATGAAACACCCAATCAAATGAGTTGTCTGTAGAACACGGTATTCAGCTGGCGGGGGCGGGGGGGGGGGTGTTGGAACAGGGATGGGAGCAGAATAGCTATGCAAAATCTGTAAAAACCCCGAACTGCGGGGGCGGGTGGAGGGGGGGATCAGGCCCCAAACATTGATAAGATGCCCCACCACCCGTCTGTGTTAGGTCTTAAGCCATTAAGATAGCCAGGCCAGGAGGGGCGGATCTCATGGCATCATCGGGCCCAGCCCCCTGACTGGAGGCAGGACCACACGCTGACTCACCCTCAGCTGCTTACAGGAAAGTTAACCTGCCCTCTCCTCATCCTGCCTTCCAGGAAAACCAGGCTCTTTGGAAACCAGGGGCTAGGGTTTGCCTCTTCTAGTCTGAGGTGGAGGGTGGGGAAGGGGAGGAGAGGCTGGGGAAGTAGGAAGAGCTGGAGGGGGCAGCTCACCCTGACCTAATCACATTCTTGGAGCCAGGGAGTGGGTGGGCCAGCCCCCTTCCAGCCTCTCAGAGTCAGCCGCTGTGCTTTAGGGCCTGACTTCCAGTGGGCCCTGAGGACCTGCCTGCTTCCACTTGGGGAGGAGAGCAGCACACACCTGGGTTCGAGTCCCCATTCTGCCACATTCTACTCCGTGACCCTGAGCAAGTTATTGAAACTGGCTGAGCTCAGTTCCCCTCTTGAAATGGTGGTATCTAACAATGGCGTCTAACTCAGGGTTGCTTTGAGGATTAAATGAGATACTTCCATCTTTTGCATAGTTCCTGGAGCATGGTTTTTGCTCAGTATATATTAGCTACCTGGAAAGCTAACATTTTGAAGACAACGTGTTTTTTCTTTAGGTAGTAGGGCCTCCCAGCATTAGGTCAGAAGGGGCTGGCAGTGGCCCAGCCCAGGCCGGGGTGGTAGGGGCCCTGTGGTGGTGGAGGACTAGTGTTGTTAACGGGTACCTGGGTTCAAAATCCCAGCTCCCTGTCATTAACTTTAAAGCCAGGCAAAACACTTAGTAATCTGTGGATCTGTTCCCCCTCTGAAAAACGGAGGAAATAATAATATCAGCCTCACAGCGTTGACTCCTACATAAAGCTCTTAGAATACTGCCCGGAACATAAGTCTGTGCTGGCCATTACCATCTTTGAGTCTGTTAGAGTCCCCTTGTCCCTACCCAGTCATAACAATGACAGCATCGGCAGCCACTGTTCTCTCCATGAACCCAGGACACCGCTCTCATCTTATAGCTGAGGCTCAGGAGAACTGGACGTCGGATACATAAACCCTCATGAAACCAACAGACCTGAGACAGACTGTCAGGTACCGCGCCAGCACCCAGCGCGCTGTGAGTGTGCAGAGAACAGAACCCGAGAAGCCGGAAAGGCTGGCAGGAGGGGGCAGCCTGGCCTCCCTGAGGACTGGTGCGCTGGGACGGGTGCAGCTTCAGGTGGGGGCAAAGGTGTGGAGGTGGGGCTGGGCAGGGCCCTGTGGGACCTCGGCCAGGGGCAGGGCCAGGGATAAAGTCAGGGCAGGTGAGGGGGCTGGCCAGCCTCCAAGTGGAATTCAGGGACGAAGCAAAGGCGGAGCGAGGCCCAGGCAGGCTCTGAGCTCCTTCTTCTCTGCAGCCAGACCTCCCTTCCTCAGAGACCCAACGGACTTGCGCTCTCAACTGGAAACTGTAGTCCCTGCCCCTCAAAATCCCAGAGTCCGGAGACTTAAGGAAACAACAGACTCTCTGCTTGGACTCAGCTTGGGACAGGGATCAAGGAGAGAGAGTGGGCCCTTTAGCCCCACTTTATTGGTTTGTTCTCTCTGGGTGAACACACCCAACATGGCAGCCGGCAGCCGGGCACACCCCAGACGTGCTTCCGGCATTCCTCCCGGCAGGATGTGGACACACTGTCCCTCCAAAACCAAATCCACCCCCTCATCCGACGTGGAAGGGTTACTGATGGCTTCTTAGGAATGTAAAGGGCACGTTTCCTAGTGTGGCCAGACTTCCTGTAAACCCTGCCTCCCGGTCTACCCCTCCCCTAGGAACTGCTCTCCTGAGGCTCAGCTTCGGACGTCCACGCCCCGAGTGCCTTTAGCAGGACCGGCTACAGGACGTGCAGGTCCGGGTGTAAAAGGAAGATGTGGGCTCTGGTGCAAGATGTTGACAACAGGGCGTGACATCAAACGCTGGGCCCTTCTAAGCACAGGACCCTGTCAACAGCCAGGGCCGCGGGCCCAGAAGCTGACCTGGCCCTTAGTGCGTGCCCTACGTGGACTGGAGCATCAAGTTTTAAACATTTTAAAGCAAAAGCCTGAGATTCACCTCCCTCCACCATCCCCCCCAACCCCCCCCCCCCCCCCCCCCGACTCCCAAAGCATATTTGAGGACGCTATTCCCGCCCCTGACCAACCTCTCACCTTCTATCCTGCCCTTAGGCCCACAGCAGAAAAGTTTGAGGTTTCATGTTTGAACTGATCGTACCTTGGCCAAGTGCTCTCACACGTTCTTTATGAGAGAGAAGTTACCCTCCCATTTTACAGTGAGACAAACTGAGATCCGGAAACGCCCCACCCCAGCGGGCGCCTTGCTGGCCAGGAGCAAAGGTGGCGCCAATACTCTGGCTTCTAGACCCCCTGGGTCTGAGCCATTTCCACCAAAAAGAACCCAGACACCTTCTAGAGTGAGTGCACAAGTGATGCAAACCACGGCGCTGAGGGAATTTGCGTTCTTTCTAGCGTCACAGCAATTCCTCCTGCTGAAGCAGCCTCACCCAACCCCAGACAAACACCAGGCCCAACAGACCTCAGCTGGCCGAACTGCTGAGGAATGCTCCGGGAGTGTCCGCACCCGTCCCTGACTCATCGCACCCAGCACTCCCGAGGCCACTGACCAAAGAAAAGCTTCTATTCCCAAGGATTACAGGAGGCTGTTGGTTTTACTTCATTCCTCGTTAAAATGTGGGGAACCTTTTTGTGTTGGTTTTCCTGTTCATCCTCACTAAGGATGATTTTTCCGTTGATTTTTTTTTCTTTTTGTTGATTTCAGAGAGGAAGGGAGAGAGAGATAGAAACATCAATGACAAGAGAGAATCATTGATCGGCTGCCTCCTGCACGCCCAGCACAATGGGGATTGGCCCCACAACCGGGAGTCTAACGAGACCTCTGAGTTCATGGGTGGTCGCTCAACCACTGAGCCACGCCGGCCGGGCTCCACTGATTTTTAGAGAGAGTGGAGGAGGAGAACAGAGAGAAACATCAAAGTGAGAGAGACACATCAGTCGGTTGTGTCTCCCGCAGGCTCCCTGACTGGGGCCACAGATGGAGCCTGCGACCGAGGTACATGCCCTTGACCAGACTCGAACCCGGGACTCTCAGGCTGCAGGCTGACGCTCTAACCACTGAGGAAACCCACTAGGGCAGAAACCTTTTTTTTTTAAGTGAACTTTTTTTTTAAAAAAAAATATATATTATTGATTTTTTTACAGAGAGGAAGGGAGAGGGATAGAGAGTTAGAAACATCGATGAGAGAGAAACATCGATCAGCTGCCTCCTGCACATCTCCTACTGGGGATGTGCCCGCAACCCAGGTACATGCCCTTGACCGGAATCGAACCTGGGACCTTTCAGTCCGCAGGCCGACGCTCTATCCACTGAGCCAAACCGGTTTCGGCATAAGTGAACTTTTTATTGTGGAATCGCGTCAGATTTATAGAAACGCTGTGAAGGTACCATGGAGAGTTGCCTCCCCCCGTGTCCCCCTTATTGACATTCATGTTATCGTAGCATATTTGTCACACCAAGACGCTGACATGGGCCCATTGCTGGGAGCTAATCTCCACACGGGTTTTGGATTCCACCCGTCTTGCCGCCCGTGTCCTCTTTCTGTTCCAGGACTCGGTGGAGGGAAGCACATGGCATTCAGTTGTCACGTCTCTCCTCTAACCTGACCGTTTCTCCTGGGCAGTCTTGAGGAGGACTGGCAGGTATCCTGTAGGCTGTCCAACGGGGTTCATTTGGCGGCTTTCCCCTAATAGGACCGGATTATAGGTTTTAGAGAAAACGCCCTTATCGCATCTGTGACACCCACAGGACACCAGGTGAGGTTCACCTGAGTTGTGGTTGAGGTGGTGTCTGTTTTGCTTCCCTGCTGTGCAGTGAAGTTACCATTTTTCATTTGCCAAACTCTACCCTTTGGAAGTGAGACAATAAATCTAAGCCACCCTTGAGTGGGGAGGGCGGGAACTAGGTTCCACCTCTAGGAGGAACCTTAATTTTTGAAATGCTAATTTAATTAACTTAGGAAAGAAAAATCTATGCTCTGTTTTTAAAAGGCAAAGGTGCAGGTGAAAAGCCTCTCCCCATCTGTGTCCTTGAAAATTACCATTTTCTCAGACTCCTTCCAGAGGTATTTTATGCAGAGACAGGCAAATATATATATATATATATATTTTTTTCTCTCCACCTTTTTTACACAAAGGTAGCACGCTGGCCACACTGTTCTGCACCCAACCACAGGGTTGCTTGGGCTACTGAGACTTATAAACCACCCAGTTGTCTGACGATGATGGATTACACGATTGTATAGCAAAGGCCTGGTCACAGCCACCGGCAGTGACTCAAGTAAATGCTATCTCGTATCGTGAACAGTAATAGGTCAAATAAAAATCCAGTGCAGAGTGCATGTGATTTCTCCTGGGTGGACGCTGTTTTCCAGGAGGACGAAGTCAGAAGAGGTAACAGGAAGCTGTGAATCCCTGAGAGGAATGGAAGACTTGAGTATAATGTTTTGCCACATCGTATAAAAGGCAAATAAAAGGAGGAGGCTGGCCCTAGCTGGTTTGGCTCAGTGGATAGAGCGTCAGCCTGTGGACTTAAGGGTCCCAGGTTCGATTCCAGTCAAGGGCACGTGCCTGGGTTGCGGGCTTGATCTCCAGTGGGGGGTGTGCAGGAGGCAGCCAATCAATGATTCTCTCTCATCATTGATGTTTCTATCTCTCTTTCCCTCTCCCTTCCTCTCTGAAATCCATAAAGATATATTAAAAAAAAAAAAAAAAAAAAAAGAGGAGGCTGTGAGCTTTCAGGGAACTCAATCTTTAGGACCTGAACCAGCCATAGGTGGACGGCCAGACCCCACCGCTCTTTTCCTGGTCAGGGAGGTAAGGGCTGTCTGACTCTCTAAGCTGTCTCTGTGGATTGAGGGTGTTCACGGCATCTCGGAAGTAAGTATAGAGCAAACACCCCACCCAGGGCAGGGACAAGATGCAGATGCTTCAGGTCACACACTTGTGATGCCTGCCTGAAGGGTTGCCCATAGCCTGAGGGATAAAGTGTTGCCCTTCAGTTTATTCATCCGTTCCATTTATCCATCCTTCGTTGATCTATCCATCCGTCTATGTATCTACCCAACCATCTCCCACCCGCCCACCCACCCACCCATCCACCCACACATCGAACCATCCACCCACCCATCAAACCATCCACCCACTTGTTTTCTTTATTCTTTCACTTATTGTTTGGCTGGCCCCGTGCCAGGTGCAGGGGTAAAGCTATGGCTGAGATGGACACGGGCCCCCTTCACACGGCTGCTGAACGGCAGAGCTGGAATCAGAACCCAGGCTGCCTGGCTCCTGACTGTAGGTTTTCCCGGAGCAGGAAGGCTAACAGAGAGTTCTCTTCTGCTCTCAGAGGACAGATGAGGTCATATCTGCAGATCAGGAGGCTGGGCTGGGGGTCCCAGGGTTGGAGCAGTACCTCCCAAAAGGCCCTTTAAGTTTGGGAGCGATTGTGTGGTAAGGGCCCCACTTCCCTGTAGGACCTGCAGGGATTCCTCAGTGGCCTGGGAAAGCACCCCCTCCCTCCTCCGCTGCAGGGCCTGGCATCCAAGTCTGGGTTCTTTCCAAAGAAGGAGGAGGCTCTGCTCAGGGCAGGTGTTCACACGGCCCAGCAGCTGAATCCCGACCTCCCTCCCGCCCCCTCGCCCCCCTCCTCCTTCCACCAGGGAAGATTCAGGTTCCACTTGGAGAGCAGAACTAGGAAACGGGGCTGAGGGCTAGAGTCCTAGAAACAGCCGAAGGGTAAGTGTGCTTTTACCAGCCCATTTTACAGATGAAGACACTGAGGCCACAGAGGTTAAGTTACCTGTCCTCAAAGCTGGGGCCCACCAAGCACAACTCAGGACTCTACCCCCAAACATTTCTTGCTGCTCTTCAGCCACCTTCTAGCTTTCTTGCCCTCAGAGGCCTGGACACTCAGATTCCTCAAACGTACTCATACCTTGCTCTTAGGTCACCAAGAAGAACCTGTGGCCAGGCCGGGGCCTGTGACTGCTCCATGGAGCCCATGGTGTGTGTCCAGCGTCCTTCCTCTCCGGACCTTGGTGCCTTCAACCCTGGCAGTGGAGATGCCAACACCTGCCCTCGGGCTTTTTCTGACGACTGAGGGACTCAATACAGGTCACACGCCCAAGACAGTAAGCCTTTGGAAGGACTCAGGAGTTGGCAGTGTGTATCACTCATTCCCTTCAGAAGTTGTGTTGTATAGTGTTTCTTGGAATGAACTAGAGGGAAATGTTCCCCCAAATATGTAAATAAATAACACAACTCTGAAAACTGAAATTTCACCTAAGTCCCTGTTTGCTTTTTAGTTTTGAAGTCTTTGTCCATGCTGGCCGAAGAGCAGCGGCCGGGGGGATGGCGGGCGGTGAGGGGGTGGCCGGTGCTTCCTGCTCTCGCTCTGGCAGGTGAGTGAGTACCAGGGGGACCCTCCCACCAAGGACACCTAGAAATGGCCCAGAAAGGTAAGCCTGGAGTTGGGAGCTCCTTTTCCCCTCAGGCAGGCTGGCTGCAGCGGCGGAGGGCCGGGAAGCTCCAGAGCTTTGGTGTCTCGGGTCTGGGGGACAATAATTGGAGGGCAGGCCCCACCATGGTGGTGGTTCTTCGATAAAACCCCAGGCTTGAGGCGCGACTCTAATAACTGATGAACACGTTCAGGAAATTAGATAACAGGAATTTCAGCAGACACCTGGAAACCATAAAAAAGAAGCAAGTGGTCTGGCCAGCGTGGCTCAGTGGTTAAGGATGGGCCTATGAACCAGGAGGTCACGGTTCGATTCCTGGTCAGGGCACATGCCCGGGTTGAGGGCTTGATCCCCAGTGTGGGGCGTGCAGGAGGCAGCCAATCATTGATTATTTTTCATCATTAATGTTTCTATCTCTCCCTCTCCTTTCCTCTCTGAAATCAATAAAAATATATTAATAGAAGAAGAAGAAAAAAAGAAGAAGCAAGTGGAAGTTCCAGAACTGAAAACACAATACTGAGGCTAAGAATGGCCGTTGTCAGGATCACCGACAGCCACGGCCCAGGCTCAGGTCCTGGCCCCAGCCTTCACCACGTACAATGCCAGCCCTTGTTTCCTTTTCCTTGAGGTGAATTCATACAACGTACAATGAACCATTTTAAAGTGTACGGTTCAGTGGTATTTAATGTATTCACAATGTTGGGCAAAAACCAGTGCTCCCTAGTTTCAAAATCTTTTCATCACATCGCTAAAGGCCTTGTACCCATTAAGTTGTCGCTCGCTGTCCTCCCCGCTCCCCCGTAGCCTCTAGTCTACGTTTTGTCTCTGTGGGTTTCCCTCTCGTGGCTGTGCCATATCAGTTAAGCATACAGTACGTACCTTTTGTGTCTGGCTTTCACTTACCATGTTTTCAAGGCTCATCCAAATTGTAGCATGTGTCGGTATTTCATTCCTTTTCATGGCTGAATAATATTCCATTGTGTGTATGTATCACATTTTGTTTAACCATTCATCCACGGATGGACGTTTGAGTCGTTTCTGCTTTTGGCTAATATGAATAATGTTGTATAAACATTCGCACACAAGTTTCCGTGTGCACCTGTTTTCATTTCTCTTGGGTACATACTTAGGTGTGGGATAATTGTTCCTTAACTCCTTGCAACAGTTTCCTTGTCTAAAAAATGGGGCGGATGGTGGTACCTAACACCTAGTTCCATGAGACAATCAAGGGTCTTAGCTTCATAAATGATGACTATAGATCAGAGTTGTGACCCAAGCAGGTTGTAAGTATTTGTTGACATGTCTGTCTGCTCAGCTAGGTCACAGGGCCTTCCTGATGTCTGTCTGCACCCCAACCCCAGTGCCTGGCACCCTGCTGCCATGGAGCAGACAGTGGCCTTACCTGTCCCTTGGCTCAGCAGTGCCATGGGGAGCACAAATACTATTGTTCTTTTTCATCCACTGGGGGAAACGAAGCTACTGGAAGTTGAATAACTTAATGCTACAAGACTAAAGAGAAGCAGAACCCAAAGTCCAATCTAAAACCCCAAGCAAGGGTTCATTCATTCATTCATTCAACATCAAATATTTACTGAGCACCTGCTTTATGCCAGGCATGTTCTAGGCATTGGTGTCTTCATGAGTTACTTGGGAAAACTATACAAACAAGATAAATGAGTTACGTTCTGTATCTAGGTGATATGTGCCAAGCAAAAATAAGGCAGAAAAGGAGGATAGGGAGTCAGTTGCCTAGGGAGAGTGGGAGGGCTACAATTCCTATACAGCTCGTCAACGACAGGACAGGGATTTGAACCTGGACCTGAGTCCGGAATCTATGCCAGGCCTGGCCTTCCCCTGGTACCTGGGGGGAGTGTGGGCTCTGGTTCAGAGCTGGGGCTTCAGAGTCAGACCTACTAACGGGCTGTTTGCCTAACCCCTCTGGGCCTCAGTTCCCACCTCACGGACGTATGTGAGGATTCAGTGTGGCCACAGACGCGCATGGGGAGGTTGCTGTTAGGACTGTCGTTGTAGTACTGTACTAGAGAAGGTTTGCCTTCTGAAAAGCTATCTGGTGCAGCGGGCTCCCTCTGGTCCTAACCAACTTGGGGTCACACGACTGGCCAACCGTCTAGGCCGCCAGAAGTGAGAGGAGAAACCAAACCTTTCACCCTTGGAGAGCAGCGACCCTCCCAGACCCCGTGAATTTGGCCAACCAGGTTCTGCTTGCTCTCAGGTTACTTCTCTGTGAGCTTCTGGAGCCAGCTGCTCTCCAGTTTGGGCGTCAGGGTTACCAAGGAACACGGCTCCATTACACTGCCCCCCCCCCCGCCACACACACACACACACACACACACAAACACTATTAAAGACCCACTCGGAGCATTTGCAGGGAGGACCGACTCCAGCTATTCCGGAAGGGCCTGTCTCTGTCAGGGCTGATTCTGGTGCGAGTTGAGAGTGTATTTACTGGCCAAAGTCTGCTCCAAAGTAAACATGTCATCACATTCCTCACAGCCTGTAACCTCCATGGGGAGAGGCTGGGCCACCGTGGAGCTAGGGTGGTGAGGAAACCTTATCTGACTCCATTTCAGCAGGATCCCACTTCGTTCACTGGGTGGGGGACACGGGGAGGAAAGAAGCAGAGACTCCTAAACAGGCCGAATGAAAGGACACATTTGGTGCAGTTGTTCTCTGCGGTGGTGAGAAGGGGATACTGGGAGGCTTAGAAGACAAACATGTGATGTAGTGAGAGAGCACACTTATTCATGTGGGTGTGCCTTTGAGTTTATCCTATTGCTTTTTTCTGCCCATAGACGTAGAACAGACTTTTTTTTCTTCCTTCCTTCCTTCCTTCCTTCCTTCCTTTCTTCCTTCCTTCCTTCCTCCCTCCCTCCCTCCCTCCCTCCCTCCCTCCCTCCCTCCCTCCCTCCCTTCCTTCCTTCCTTCCTTCCTTCCTTCCTTCCTTCCTTTCTTCCTGTATGACAGACTTACAGTAGACTGCATATATTTAAAGTGTATAATTTGATTTTTTAACACACACACACATACTCATGAAACCATTACTACAATAAAAACGGGGAACATTTTGTATCAAACTTATATATTAAATGTAATCATGTTCTGTTTTTGTTTTTTTTAAAAAAATATATTTTATTGATTTTTTACAGAGAGGAAGGAAGAGGGATAGAGAGTTAGAAACATCGATGAGAGAGAAACATCGATCAGCTGCCTCCTGCACACCTCCTACTGGGGATGTGCCCGCAACCAAGGTACATGCCCTTGACCAGAATCGAACCTGGGACCTTTCAGTCCGCAGGCCGATGCTCTATCCGCTGAGCCACACCGGCCAGGGCTCATGTTCTGTTTTTTTTTAAAAAAAGGTTGGGGGGCGGGGAGACATAAGAATCACTCCAAAAAGTTTCCTCAGGGTGACAAGAAGAGATAAACCAAAGAACGTATATACTTAGATGCATAGCGCATGGGCACAGGCCATAATAGGGTGGTGAAGACCTGGGGTGGGTGGGGAGGGGCTGGGAGGAGGGGAGAAAGGGAGGGGAAAATGTGAGTTTCCTCATACCCTTTTGTGCTCCCCCCCCCCCTTCATCCCTAGGCACACTAGGGTCTGCTTTCTCTCACTCCAATTGGTTTGCATTTCCTAGAGTTGTATGTAAATGGAGCCATACAGGATGTATTCTTTTTCTGTCTAGCCCTGTTCACGTAGCATAATTATTCTGAGATTTAGCTGTGGCTGTGTATATCCGTAGGCCCTTCCTTTTTACGGCTGAGTGACTCGTGCTCGGTGTGGCTGTACCGGTTTGTGCATCCACTCACCTGCTCATGGGCCTCTGGGTCCTTGCCCGTTTCGGGCAGTTACCAATCAAGCTGGTGTGAATATCCAAGTGCAAGTCTTTTATAGACACACGTTTTATTTCCCTGGGGTAATTAGTCAGGAGTGGAAGGGCTGGGTCATATGGTAGGTATATGTTTCACTTTCTAAAAAACGGCCTTCCATGGCGGGTATGCCATTTTATATTCCCACCAACAGTGCATGTTTAACAACGTTAAACATTTAAGACAGAAAGAACAGTCCTTAAGGTAGAAAGTAAAGCTCTTATAAGTCTACCTCCTAGTGACTGGCGGCTTCACTGTTTACTATAAATCTTGCAAGGTTCCTTTGTTTTCTTGTCCACACACAGAACCAGACTGAGGCGCTGAGGTGCCCTGGGCAGGCTAATAATCTGGCATGCCCTCAGCCTGATATTGCAAAAACAGTTGTTCAAAATTTACTTAGGCAGGCTGTGGAGAAACTGGTTTTCTGTTAATAAAATATATCATTCTTCTTTCCTTTCAAAAATAAAGGATTTATGACATGCACCGAATGAAACCTGACCTCTTAACTTCTTTGGCATGGTCCTGGAATCGTAGTTGTTCAAGCTTTTGGGGGCTGAAATAAAGGGCATAGGATTGGGTGTCACACTAACAAAACATTAGGTCCTGGCGCAGCACGAAACGCTGACCAAGGACGAAGCTGACATGACCAAAGACCCAAGGGAATTGTCTCCTAGCTGGACTCGGGCTTGTGGCACAGCCCAGAGCTGCCCGAGGGTTGGGGAAAAGAACGTCCCAGTTTCTCCCAGAGGACGCTCGTTGCCTCCGATCACTGGTCTGTCCTGTGTGGAAGCCCAAGTCACTGGCCCCGTGTTTCATCTAGTTCAGTGCTGTCTGGGCTCCCTTCTAGACTGGCGCCCTGGTAGGCTGCCTGGTGGTCAGCTCGGTGCATGTATTAACGCAGATTAGTGTTACTGGTATTTTAAATGT